AGGGTTTCCACTTTACTACAAATTTTCTGAACCCTAACTAAAGAATTAATTTTTAATTTGCGCGAGTTCGACAACTCGTGTCAAATTTGGCGCCGTTGCCGGGGAAATTGCATCGGTCTAAATCATTTTCTGATTCTTGATCATCTTCTTTTTCATCTTCATCTTCTTTTTCTTTAATTTTCGTTCTCCAAAAAAAAAAAAAAATTAAAAAATTTTTGTTGTCTTATCGTACGTTTTGTGATTTTATTGCTGTATGCTTTGCCTATGATGCATGACTAGGAGTAATACCAGTTTTGATGATTTATATGCATATGACCCTGTGATAGAGAGATCATTGCATGCTGCTAGTAGAGCTCGTAGGTTGACTTACAGTAGAGCTGTTCCTGAGCATACCTTAGAGTCTGTTGAGTCTATCGAGTCTGTTTGTTCGAGTCCTTTACATAGTGTTTATTCGTTTGGTCATTTATTTGATTCTGAAATCATGGGTGATAGAACACTTAAGCAATTGGCTGCTCCTAATGTTGATAATGAGCAGCCCTTGTGTATTCGTTATACTAATCCTGTTGTACCTTTTGAGCTTAAGTCTGGACTAATACACTTGCTGCCCAAGTTTCATGGTCTTGCAGGTGAGGATCCCCACAAACATCTGAAGGAATTTCATATAGTCTGCAGCACTATGAAGCCAACAGGGGTGGATGAGGAACAAATCAAGCTGCGTGCTTTCCCTTTCTCTTTGGACAGTGGAGCTAAGGACTGGTTGTACTACCTGCCACCTTCCTCCATTGTAAGCTGGAATGACATGGCCAGATTGTTTCTGGAGAAATTCTTCCCTTCATCCAGGGCCAGTTCAATCAGAAAGGAGATCAGTGGCATAAGGCAAGCTAATGGCGAGAACATGCATGAGTATTGGGAGCGATTTAAAAGGCTTTGTTCAAGCTGCCCACACCATCAAATTCCAGACAATCTCCTGCTTGTTTACTTCTATGAAGGGCTGCTGCCTATGGATAGGAACCTTCTGCATGCAGCTAGTGGAGGAGTCCTGAGCAATAAAACACCTAATGAGGCCAAGGAGCTGATTGCTGAGATAGCTGCTAATGCTCAACAATTTGGCACTAGAGCAAGCAGCAGTGCAGTGTTCCAAGTGCAAACTTCTCCAATGCAAAATCCAATAGTGGCAGCAGCAGGAGCATCAAGCACAGATAACCAGAGAATAGAGAACAGGCTTGATGAGTTGACATCAATGGTGAGGCAGTTGGCAGTGACACAGACAGTGCAACCTTATGCTCAACAGACAAACAACCCGTGTGGCATCTGCTGTGATCCTTCTCATCCCACAGATGCTTGTCCTTCCTTACATGACAGCGGTTCCCAAGTTGACCAGTCTGTTGCTGCAGTTTTTCCTGAAAATCCACAGCACCAGCACCAGCAGCAAAATAATCCATTCTCCAACACTTACAATCCTGGCTGGAAGAATCATCCCAACCTCATATGGAACCAGAATCAGCAAAATGTTCCATATCAGAGTCAACAAAATTTACCATTCCAGCAGAGGCAGCAGTTTGTGCCTCCACAACAGAGGCAAAATTTTCAACAATTTGCCCCTTAGCAGCCAATGCAGCAGCAGCCACCAGTGCATCAGCAAGCTAGTAGAAATGGCCCTTCTTTGGAGGATTTAATGAAACAGATGGCCACTAGCAATCTGCAGTTCCAGCAGAGGACTGAGTCTTCCATTCAGAATCTACAAACACAGATTGGCCAACTTGCAACATCAATGAGTCAGAATCAACAAGCAAGTGGTAGCTCCCTTCCATCACAGACAGTTCCAAATCCAAAGGGAACCGGCAATGTTAGTGCCATCTCTCTGCGGTCTGGCAAGCAACTGGAGGAACCAAACCAATCTGTTGTTAAGTCATCTCAAGGAGGTGACACTGGTTCAAGGAAGCAAAATACTGATACTTCTGATGTCCATATCCCGTTACCTTTTCCTCAAAGAGCCACTCAGTCTAAAAAGCAAGCAGCAAAAGCTCAAGATAAAGAGATTCTTGACACCTTCAGAAAAGTAGAGGTCAATATCCCACTCTTAGATGCGATTCAGCAAATTCCAAGATATGCTAAGTTTCTGAAGGAGTTATGCACCAACAAGAGGAGGCTGAAAGGTGATGAACGAGTCAGCGTCAGCCAGAATGTGTCAGCACTCATCCAGCCCATGCCCAAGAAGCGCCAAGATCTAGGGACATTTACTATCCCTTGCATTATTGGAAATTCTATTTTTCATGATTGTATGTTAGACTTAGGAGCATCCATTAATGTTATGCCTGAATCTGTGTATAAGTCTCTTGGTCTTGGTCCCTTGCGTGCTACTGGTATTGTTGTTCAGTTAGCCAACAAGAGTAGTGTTCATCCTTCTGGTGTAGTTGAAGATATATTAGTTAGGGTGAACAATCTGATTTTTCCTGCTGATTTCTATGTCTTAGGGATGGAGGGTGAGATTCCTAGTAGTACAATTATACTTGGTAGACCTTTCATGAAAACTGCTAGGACTAAGATAGATGTGCATGCTGGTACTCTTTCCTTAGAATTTGGTGATAGCATGGTTAATTTTAATATTTTTGATGCCATGAAATTTCCTAGGGAAGAGCATTCTATTTTCTATATGGATGTAATTGATGAAATGATGGATGATATCTCTACTGACTTAACTGCTGAATATCCAGAATTATCATCATTACTTGATTTGCTCTGTCATGTGATTGTACCGATAGTAGTAACTGTACTGCTTGTGCTGAGATAGCTTTGTGTTGTTCTGATTTTAATCATGTATTGAATGATGATTTGCACAGTGGTTCTGCATTGGTGTTGAATTCTGAGTTGCCTGTTGAAATTATTGAAGGTTCTATTTCTGAGAATTTGATTGCAGGCATAGATGTTAATGTGTTTTCTACAGAACCTGCACCCACTAGACTTCTCCCATCCACTGAGCAACCACTTAAGTTGGAAGTGAAGGATCTACTTGACCATCTGAAGTATGCATATCTGGAGGAAAATGAGCAGTTACCTGTGATAGTGGCCAAGACCCTTCTACCTGAGTGGGAGGAAAAACTTCTGACATTGCCGATACAGGCCGACATCATTTATCCCATTTCAGATAGCTAGTGGGTCAACCCGTTTCAAGTGGTTCCCAAGAAGTCTGGAGTGACTGTAATGGCAAATCCGAAAAATGAACTGGTTCCAGCAAGAGCTCAGAACAGTTTGAGAGTCTGCTTGATGCTGTTTATTCTCCTTAGGGAGTTCAGGGAGTTCTCTTCCCTCTTTTTCTTTTCTTTCTGTTATTTGCATTTTTATTTTTCTTTTCCTTTCTTTCTTTTAGTTTTTGACTTTTTCTTTTCTTTCTGTTATTTGCATTTTTATTTTTCTTTTCCTTTCTTTCTTTTAGTTTATGATTTTTTCATAGGTAGATTTTCCTTTTCTTTCTGGTAATCATTGAGTGGTACATAGAGTAGACATAGATCACAGTGTTTGATAGCATAAATCTGTTGGGCTTTGATCTCGATTCTTGGATTACAACTACCTGTTGATTGATTCTGTGCTGTTGATTGCATGACTTGGTTTACCCTTGTTAGGTTTTGAGCCCGCATACATGGCATATCTTCTGGCCATGCTTTCTTTCTTGTGTGATTCTGCTCTTGATTGTTGTCCTCTAGAACTTGCTCTTATTCTTTTTGAAATTGCATTTTTCACTTGCATGCATGAATATGATTGAGGCATTCATTTCTTTCTTTACCCACTTTAGCCAGATAGCCATCCCTTACATTATTATCCCTTGATGAGCCCCTTTGAGCCTTTATAGCCTTTACTTCTTGAGCCACATTACAAGCCTAAGTGAAAAACCAATTAATTCCACACCTGGAGATTTACTGAGCAATGGTTTTCACTGTGATGTTGTGTTTAAGTGTGGGGGTTTGCCCGAGGCGTGCAAAAGTTTAAGTGTGGGGGTGACAATCTGATTCTTTTCTCTGCTATGTGGTTCTTCTGTGTTATATATATAAAAAAAAGAAACAAAACAAAAACAAAAAGAAAAAAAAGAAAAAAAAAGAAAAAAAAGAAAAAAAAAAGAGAAAAAAAGAAAAGAAAAGAAAAGAAAAAAAATGTGTGTTTATTTTTATCTTTTCATTATCTTTGTGTTGTTCTTAACCCTTGCTCTTGTGAATTTCTGGGGTGTTTAGCTTTCTCTTCCATATTCATCCATACCTTTACCTCAGCCCCATTACAACCCTGCATAAAGCCCTCTTGATTTGTGCATGCATGTGTTATAAGCAGTAGAAAAGTAGAACTTGAGCAAGCCTATGGTAGGATGATTTTCTTGAGTTGATTTGAGTGATATACTGAATTAACTGATACACTTGAGAGAAAAATTGAGAGCATCTTGTAAGGAACCATTTTTGTGCAGTTAACAGTTGCAGTTGAAGTTAGCAGGTCTTGTGATTTGAGATTAGGGAATTTCTGTCCTGATTGATTTACCTGTGGAAGACTTGTGATCTTTGTATATTTTCTGTATGCTTCATAGTTGTTAGAAATGATTGGTTGATCTTAGTCTTTGCTTTCAATTTTAGTTTGTTTTTGCCCAGGAGTGCAAAAAGATAAGTGTGGGGAATTTGATAACTCATATTTTGTTATACTTATTTATTACTCTTGGTTGGTATTTTTATGATTTATTTGAATTAAATAAAGGTCTTTTGGGTCAATTCACTATTCTAGATTTTAGTTGGGTTTAATTGATTTTTGTCATAATTTTCCAAATTTACACTACTTTTGTATTTTGACCATATCTCACTCTACAGATGTCCGATTGACTCCGTTCTTGTTTCTATTTGTAGCTAACAGATAGGGCTACAATCGCTATTTCAGCTACTGAAGCCCAATTCGGACGGGAAGATGGTCGAAACTTGATCTCAAGATGACATGTTTTGCTGGAATTTTATTTTGACGTTTGGACTTGTAATTCACATTAGGACCCAATGTGTTTAGGGCCCAAGGCCATGTTTTATTTTATTGTTTTATTTTTTATTTAGCTTTTATTTTATCTTTGGGCTGAAGTGATGAAACCCTAGCCGTCCTGCGTGACGGCTATTTAAAGGGGACTCTAGGAAACCCTTGGGAAGGAGTGTTTACAACAGAAAAGTATTTTCTCTGAAGCGTTCTTCTCGTTCTTCATCTTTTTCTTCTTCTTCTTCTTATTTCAATTATGCTTACCTTAGCCATCCGAGGCTAAGAGCCTTTTAATCAACCTAAGGGTAATGGATTCCATGGATTAGCCTTGAGGGTCTGCGTTTATTTCAAATCAGTTTTTGTTTCCCTTCCAAACTCAGATTGATATCGTGCGATCGTGGATATTCAATCTGAGGTTCGCGATTGCGATTATGGAAAGGGATTAATCATCAGATTTGATGATTAGGTTGATTGACCCTATGACCTTAAATCAAGCGGGCTGATACTCTGCGATTGTATGAGTAGAAGCATCGTCTTTGATCAAATGCTAAGCGATCGCTTTGAGAGGGTTGTCAATTGGAAATAAGGATTCTGATCCGATTGACAAATAATCACGATTCTGATATTTTTCTTATCTGAGGAAAGACGTCCATGGATCCCAAACCTTAGGTTGGTTAATTTTTAATTACGAATTTTTATTCCAAATTTATATTCTGCCTTTTTAATTATTGAATCAAAATCCAAAACCCCCCTTTTAATTTTCTGTTCTCATAAGCGATTTTAACCAAAACAATTTCCTTGAGAGACGACTTAGGGTTTCCACTTTACTGCAAATTTTCTGAACCCTAACTAAAGAATTAATTTTTAATTTGCGCGAGTTCGACAGCTCGTGTCAAAATACAATAGGGCTTTTCAATTATTTTATCACATGTGGATACTTACTCAACACTATAACTTCCTAAATAACAATAATCCATCATAATTTTCACATTCTATACTACTTTATTTCCTACCCAACCATGCTCATGACTTTCAAAACATTATTCACACTAATAAAGCCATAGGGTTAGAGTTTTGTTACCTCAAATGAACTACCCAAAGCCTAGAAGGCCTTCACCAAGCAAAGCTCCCTCCAAAAATCCATTTTTTCTTCTTGGTGAATAGTAGCTCGAATTTGGGGAAGAGAAGAACTCTTCACACACTCAACAATAGCTCAAATTGATGGGTGGAATGGGTTCATTGGGTGGTTTACAAGCAATCTCATGTCGTGGACTTTGTGTTTTGGTTGAAAATTGATGGAGAAATCAAGCAAAATCAAGCCAAAACCCTAACCCCCCCTTAGGTGATGAAGAGCTCGGTTTTTTGAGGGAAGGGAGGAGAGAGAAGCTGAGGTGAATAGTGATCTTAAGTCACTTAAGGTCCTTATAAGCACATGTGGCTTTTAACAGATGTTTTTCTTTCGCGTATTTTCACTTAAACTGACCCGGAACCAACTTAAAGCTACAAAAATATTTTTATTTTTTTGAAATCACTTACATTAATTTTTATTTTCTAAGGAACAATATTTATAATTCACAGTATGACTTTTGCACCGTTTTTAATGAAATGCACTGTGAACCATTAACTGTACTTTATTTATTTCTGAAACTTAAAACTTATAAACTTATCATTTTCTTGGGCCTATATTGACTTGCTTGGCATATATTGGACTTTCCTATTCTTATTTCATCAATTATTTGTTTTTGGACTCTACCGGTTGCTTACACAGCAGTACAAAATACCCGGTAAAAACACTATTCACGAGATTTTCACGGAAAGTGTCAGACTATACAATTTTTCATTCTGAACTCATATTTGTCGTCAGAATTATCAAATTATGTCTCTAAAATTATTTTGCTCTTTTTAAGCTCTACCGGTTAATTCACAAAACTGTAAATTCTCCGGCAGAACGCACTGTTCATAACATAGTCATGATTACAGTCAAAATACTCGGAATCACTCACTAAATCTAATTATGGCATTTAAATCCTTAAATTAAATCTCTAATTAAAATTTACCCTATAGGGTCATTATATTGTGGTACTATTGTAATTATGCAGATCAAAGGAAAACAAAAATTATACTGATCTCACAGAATGACGCCTACTAGTTCTTTCAGAGAAGAAGGAAGTTGAAATGAGTTGAAAACTGAAATTGAAGAGCAGTATATAAGATGATATAGGGAAATGGTAACCGTTATTTAATGATTTATACTATTTTCTAAATAACAAGCCTTCTATAAGAGAGTCGAATATTCGACGTGAAATGTGAATGATTAATCAGCTTATTCTGTCTACCTGTGCTACGAAATTTTACACAAAAAATAAAGGACGTTGTCAATGATCGAACTTGGGATATCGAAACTTTAATATCATAAAAAGAATCAATTCAATCCAAAAATTTAAGCTGGATGAAGACTTTTTAATAATTTATAATATTCTCGTTATTTAGCTCACTTAGTGATTATGTAACTGGTCCGCTAATCACAGCTACTCGAATCATATATCATAACAATTATTAATTAACAACACTTTTTCGTTTATAAGGTAAAAGAAATCAAGACACTTGTGTTATTTGATTTATACTTAAATATCTTATTGTTTCAGATAACGCACAATTTAAAAAGATACATACATAAAGAAATGTTTGGTAGAAGATTTTTTTTAAGATTCTTGAAAAAATTGGATGAGGTAATTTTATTTTTTCATGTTTGGTATGATATTTCTAAAAATTTTTTGGGAATCTGATTTTCGCGGAATTTTATTTTGTGTGTAAATTTTTTTAAAAATATCATCCAATAATATGGGTGGTATTTTTAGATTCCCATGGCAAGAGAAAACCTAACACAACCAAACATAATATCAAGTAAATTAATCCAATGAGAATATTTTAGTCTATCAAATAATTTTTTGATAATATTATCAGAAGAAAACTCTTTTTCACACCGTATTCTTGAAAATTGTGATTCTTGGATAAGAAATTTTTTTTCTAGTACCAAACGGTAATAGATTCAAACCTCAATGGCTCAAGAGAGAAGTTGCATAATTGATATGAGCAACTATATAATAAATGCATTCGAAGAAAGTATTCGTTGTTTTAAAAAATGGTCATTTTAATTAAAATTAATATTTTATATTTAAAATTTAAATTAAAAAAAAACTTTTTATTTGGAAAAATATTTCTTCAGTTATTGAAGATAAAATTATGTTCAGTGAGTAAAACAACGTCATCTTAAAATTATAAAATTAAAAATTTTTAAAGATAAAAATTAATATAACCCTGCAATAATATATTAGAATTATAAAAAGAAGTTGATTTTCACCCTAAAACGACTCATCCGAAATAACTTCTTATTTTATTGTATAACTCTTTCTCTCATACACAATTCTATGTCACTTCAAAGCACGAACACGACGTTTGAAATTTTTTTTGCATGTTGGACACGTGTTCGACATGGACACGCTTCGACACGCTTAGACGACACGCGATCAACATTTGGGGATACGCGGTCAACTCTTTGACACGTTTTTTCGAGACGCAGTCAACTTTTTCGGACACGTGATCAACGTTCGGACACGTTTTTTTTTTAAATCTTAATTTTATTTTGTTAACTAAATATAAAAGAAATAATTTATAAATTAATTTTTTTCTGTTATGAAATTTGACATGAAAATTTAACAAAGTATGAAAAATTATTTATATTTATATTTATGTTATGAAATTTAAATATTTGATTAGTTATATGACTTATTATCAACTCTTATATGTATTAAATATAAATTATATTATATAAATTAAAATTTTTATTTAATAACAAAACATGTCTCAACATATCGAAATATGACATTTGTTAGAATTAAGGTGTCGACGTGTCGTGTGCATCATTGCTATGTCATATAAAACGAAAAACACCAAATCCGTTTACTATTTGTTTTTGGAAAATATTAGGAAAGAAAACCAGTTTATGTCTTTGGCTATGAAAATTAAGTTTTGGTTTTAAAAAGGAAGGAAAGAGATAGATCACGATTTCAATCAAATTGAAAAAGTTGAAGCATCAACATTTTAGCAATCAAGAAGGTAACCGATCATTTTTCCTTAATTACTCTTTATCATTATATGTAAAAATTGTAGCGTTCCAAAATCGTTCATGATGTGATTGTTAAAATATGAGGTTGTTGATTTGATTGAACAATATCATGGGAAACAATAACTTCTAGTCTAATCATCGAATCTGTGTGCATCGGGATTCTTATTTTCTTTCCACCAAAATTGGCAATATCTTCTATTACTGTTGCGAAATTTAGGGCAATACCATAGAATAGAAGTGATAATCATGTATTGCTGCTTAATAAGCCATTAATAATCCATGTGATGGTTCTGCTTGTTTAGGAAAATGGAAGAATCGATGACCTAGAAAATGGGAATGAGAAGAAGCACTGAATTAACTGAAGATAATTACTGTTTGGTGCTGAAAGCAGGAATTCAACGAGCCACATATATTGAAGAATCCACAAACGAGTGGCTAAAGCTGTTTCAGGACAAATGAGTTTTGTGTTCCATGTTCGGCTCAAGGACATATTCAAGTACAATAGGTCAGCACTAATTACTCTTATCAAGTTTGGTCAATATCTCCAAAATAATTACTTCTCTTAATCCCTACTAAAAGCTGTGTTTGAAAGAATATCTTTATTATTTGTAAAGATCTATTTTCTTATTTCATTAGGATTTAGGTTAGGTCTGGGCTAAGCCCATTAGTATTTCTTTATATATTGTACTCTCCTGAATGAATCAATTTAATATACAGATTTATTCTGTGTTCCTCTCGTCTCTTGTTTCTCAGCAAGCTGATAACCTGTTATATATTATCCGAAATTTAATAATGATACTGCTGCATATATATATTAGAATTAATTGAGATTTGGCAGAAGTTAAAAATGTTTTAACAATGTCTTGTCATAACTTTCTCATTCAGATAACATTTTCCCACTTCCAATGGAATCATACAAGAAAAGAAACTAAAATGTAAAACCTTTAAACTGAAAAAAAATGCCTTCTGTACAAATTTGCCTCTTCTAATCTATCTCAATCTCCATTAGAATGTTACACCCCACTTAAGCGAGAAGTGAGGCTTAGGAACTCATCTTCCATGCATGGAATTGTGAGACCACCTGTTGGATGATCATATCCGAATTCTTCTTCTGATTGACTTAGTAATTCTTGAAATGAAGGCTGGTTCAAGTACGATATAGGAATCACAAACCGCCTCATTTTATCTCCAACATACACTGCAAAATAGCCTTTTGGTACTTCAAACCCCTTAGAGGCTGCTTGGGTTGCAGAAAATGATGTCCGGCTAATACCTGGTAAACGGAAACCCATGTTGCTTCACACAATAAACAAAATATTGATCTCAAAGGACTTGTATAAGAAAGAAATATTTGAGTTCTTATGCTTCAGGATACAAATGACTTGTGTTGCTAGACAGAACCCAAGAACTAGTGTATATATAGTTGCTAAGGGCCTCTGGAATCCAATTCCACAATATTAATGAATGATTTTGATGGTACTATGATGGGGTCTACTAAGAGACAGGGGATCACATGGTATTGTCTTAGAAGATAGAAGTCTCTTTCAAGGATTAGGAAGTTAAATGGGAGTGCATACCCCACACCACCCGAGATAATAGCCAATTGATGACCCATTCGAAATTGAAGACATCCGCATAGGTGAAACCAAATGTTTGTTCAACTTGTGCTGTAGCTAATCCAATGGAAGACATGCTTTAGACATCTCACATGTTACTTCAGATTGACAATGCTGCTGATATACATATCCAACTAATATCACATTAATGGTATGCAACCTCTATGAAACAATGTTCAGAGGCAAGAAGATAACCAATATTTACATGATCACGAGCCTCTATGAACCACACTTTTTTATGTTCATCAGATTCTAAGCAACAGTCCGTGAAATTTGGGTGCATGAAGTTGGCGGCCCTCACCTCCACAAAATAAGTGTCAACATGTTTTATTTCAAGTGAGGTAATCTGTTGGCCTTTGGTCCAGCAGGTGGGACTTACTTTATCTACAATAACGTGTTACATTGATCCTTGAGAAAGTGCTCTAAGACAAACACCATGTGACCTCTTAATGCCATTGTCTCCCGTTGGTCCCATGATTCCCATCTAATAGCCCTCCTCCACCGATCATTCAAGTTTCAAACATATCCATTTATCTACTATATATATTCATGGCTGCAAGCATTCAGAACCAACTCAAATCATTCACATCCTGAAACATTTGCAATTCAAAAGCTTGCATATTATTTACAAGTCTTTTTTTAGACCATTCTCAAGTTTCAACACTATATACCAATGGGTTTTCGTTTACCTGGTATCAGAAGGGCGTCATTAGCTGCAAACCAAACATCTTCAAAAGCCGTGGACGTGCCAAAGGGCTATCTTGCAGTGTATGTTGGAGAGAAAATGAAGCGGTTTGTGATCCCCGTTTCATACTTGAGCCAACCTTCATTTCAAGACTTGTTGAGTCAAGCAGAGGAAGAGTTTGGATATGATCATCCCATGGGTGGCCTCACAATTCCTTGTAGCGAAGATGTCTTCCAACATATAACTTCACGCTTGAATGGGCTATAATTATAAATCTCACACTGTAGGAGACTGACATAGATTAGTAGAGACATTTTGTACAACTTGAATAGGCATCATCTCAACTTGTAAAGATCATCCTTTCTCATGAAACGGGAGAAATTTTTTTTAATCAGAATTACGAATTCATATCTTCTGTTTTACGTGTAATGACAATGAATTCAACTACTCAAGCGGTTTCTCTGTATTTTCTGTTTATTACTAACAAATTACAATGTTCGCTTCTCCCTGCACTTAGGATCTTACGAAATATGAGCAAGGTTGCTTGCTGTAAGTAAAACCAGACTTTGTTGTTCTGATGAATTTCAAAACAGGAAGAACACGTGATTACTAGCAAGGGCAGAGCAAAAGTATTTTACCTAGGATCAAGAAAAGGATAAATTTATTTGGGACAAAGTTAAAATATATACTATTTAAAAATATCCATAATATTCATATGAAATTAAAATTTTGGGGTGCCAAGGTCCAAAACTCCAAATCATACATGAGGTACCTTCCCTGCATAGGCAGGTGCGCAACAATGGACTTAGTATCAAGGTTTATTATTCCCTTGAATAACACTGGCCTCCTTCTATAGCAAAAGCTTTTTCTCACAACATTGACGTATGGTTTATCTATAATTCCATATTTGTAAATTTTCTCCTGTCTATATTGAAGTTTTAGATATGCCTCAAAATTTCCGAAATTCATTGATCAGGGCTGTATTTATCAGATTTCGGTGCTAGTTGTGCTGAAGGTCAACCAATTTGCTCAACTATTTCAGATATTCTCATTCTAACTAGCTCAGTGGCCGAAGATGAAAATGAATAAGAAGATGTAAGTGCTTTAAGAAACACAAATTTGTATATTTATTAGCCTAAGGTATTTAGCCATTTTCTTTAATGGTTGCCTTTTATCTAAGCGCTTTGTAGCAAGACCATAGGAAAAGCTCACAAACTATGGCCTGGCTTGTAACGCCTGGCCGTTTCAAGAATCAACGACTATCCCCACATACTAACACAAGACTTTTCAGTGTGCTTTTTCCTCACTCGCACACTTCCTGAAAAAACTTCCCAGGAGGTCACCCATTCCAGAATTGCTCCAAGTCAAGCACGCTTAACTGTGGAGTTCTTCTGATCCGGGCTACCGAAAAGCAGATGCATCTTGTTAGTATAGGTAGTACCAATTAATTCTTATAAGCTATCCCAAACTGTGCAGTCTCACACCTGCACAGTCTTTAGAATCCCTCTCTTTCGGGTGTCGATTCGATTCATTCATGCATGTAACCCTCCGCTGGAAGCCTGTCAGGAGCCGCTCCTTGTCCGTGCCTCTTTGCACCGGCGATTACTCCCCGCCCTCGTCAGCGCTCGGGATGTTACATGCCCACCAGCTTCCGCCTGGTTCGTCCTCGAACCACACCGTACTGGAAGAGAGGCCTGCTCTGATACCACTTGTAATGCCTGGCCGCTTCAAGAATCAACGACTATCCCCACATACTAACACAAGACTTTTCAGTGTGCTTTTTCCTCACTCGCACACTTCCTGAGAAAACTTCCCAGGAGGTCATCCATCCCAGAATTGCTCCAAGTCAAGCACGCTTAACTGTGGAGTTCTTCTGATCCGGGCTACCGAAAAACAGATGCATCTTGTTAGTATAGGTAGTACCAATTAATTCTTATAAGCTATCCCAAACTGTGCAGTCTCACACCTGCACAGTCTTTGGAATCCCTCTCTTTCGGGTGTCAATTCGATTCGATTCATGCATGTAACCCCCCGCTGGAAGCCTGTCAGGAGCCGCTCTTTGTCCGTGCCTCTTTGCACCGGCGATCACTCCCTGCCCTCGTCAGCGGCTTTTTCCTCATTCACACACTTCCCGGGAAAACTTCCTAGGAGGTCACCCATCCCAGAATTGCTCCAAGTCAAGCACGCTTAACTGTGGAGTTCTTCCGATCCGGGCTACCGAAAAAAGATGCATCTTGTTAGTATAGGTAGTACCAATTAATTCTTATAAGCTATCACAAACTGTGCAGTCTCACACCTGCACAGTCTTTGGAATCCCTCTCTTTCGGGTGTCGATTCGATTCATTCATGCATGTAACCCCCTGCTGGAAGCTTGTCAGGAGCCGCTCTTTGTCCGTGCCTCTTTGCACCTGCGATCACTCCCCGCCCTCGTCAGCGCTCGGGATGTTACATGGCTCTATAAACTAGATATTTATCTAGTCAAAGCAATTTAGCAAATCAACTAAGTTCTAAATTTTTTTTTTTTTTTTTTTTTTTTTAATGATGGAACATGGTTATAAGTAACTATATTTTTCTGTCTTGCATGGACTATATAGTGGACGTACATCTTGTACTACTTGTGTTACGGGGAGGGTGCAACAGATCTACATAACCATTCTACCGTAGACAATTTTATTTTACTGTCTTCGTGATTTCCCTTGCCTCCATTCCATTATTATTTTATAGCTATCAGCTAGATTTTATGGTCTATATATCAGATTCCAAGAACTGGTAGTTTGTCAATATGAGGAACTTATGTGATGTGTTTGGAGCCTGTCTGGAACATAAGAAGGCCATTACATCGGCTTTGCAATTATTAGCTTTAAGGCTGTAAAGTCTCTTTCTGAAGGGATAACTATGTTGGCATGAATTGTCAAATCTCAAGTACTGGTATTTTATCAATAGGAAGAACTTGTGTGATAAGTTTTGAGCCTGTCTGGAACGTAAGAAGGAGGCCATTACATCAGCTATGCAATTATTAGCTTATTGGCTGTAAAAGTCTCTTTCTAAAGGTGCAACTAAGTCGGCATGAATTTTGAAAACTCAAGTAATACTTGATAAACAACATTAAGACAATACCATGTGACATCTCACTAATCCTTGTCTCTCCCTAGACCCCATCAAATAGCTCACCAACCATTCAATTCAGTAGAGACTTGTTTCCACAAACTCGTATATCTATCTATATATATACTCATCATGACATTCTCAAGCAATACAAGTCATTCAAAAAATTAAGAATTCAAATATTTCTTTCTCACACAAGCTCTTGCATTTATTGTATTGTTCTTGGTGTTTTGCAACAGATAACAATGGGTTTCCGTTTACCAGGTATTAGAAGGGCATCATTTGCTGTAACCCAAGCAGCTTCCAAGGCTGTGAACGTCCCAAAAGGCTATCTTGCAGTGTATGTTGGAGAGAAAATGAAGCGGTTTGTGATTCCCATTTCATACTTGAGTCAACCTTCATTTCAAGAATTACTAAGCAAAGCAGAAGAAGAATTTGGATATGATCATCCAATGGGTGGTCTCACAATTCCTTGCAGTGAAGAAGCATTCTTAGACCTCACTTCTCGCTGACTATAAATCATACGGAAGGAGACTAACATAGATTAGTTGAGGCAAACTGTACAGCTGGCACTTTTTATTTTTCTTTTTATCCTTATTTTGTTAGTGGAAAATGCCACTGAATGAGATAGTTATGAACAAAATAGACATTTTGGTCAAATTTCAATTAATTTATATACACTTTTCTACGCCGAAAAATTATATATATAGACAGCTGTTGTTTTTCATATTCTCTTCAAAAGTTATTTTTTCTTTTGTTCTTCAAAAATTATATAAATCATACTGAAGGAGACTAACATAGATTAGTTGAGGCAAACTGTACAGCTGTTGTTTTTCATACTAGAGATCAACTTAAATTAAGCCTAAAACTGGAAATCATATACAATCAAAATATGTGCTGATCAAAATCAGACTGGAATCAATCCTAAAATTAGTGGATTGACTATTGCCAATAGTACTATATTGTTGAAACAGTATGTGATATTGCTTCCGGGTTAATCCATAAATCCAATATATATGGATAGTTACTTGGGATTTTTGTTGCGCGAGGTATCCTCGTACAATACTTTTTGGCTGGAAGACTATTCATAATTGGATGGAGCACTGATTAATGATTTAACAACTCAAGATTTTCTGTGTTGAATAAATTTCAGCTGAAGTTCATATTCTTTAGCTCACGTAGAGATTATGTTACTGGTCCAGTAAGCACAGGCACAGCTACTCGAATCATATATCATAACGATTATTAAATAACAACACTATAGTTTTTGCGGTAGAACAAATTAAAACACTTCTGTTATCTGATTTATAGTTGAATATCTGCATAACATGTAAAATTTACAAAACCTACGTAATGGATGAGAGAAATTATGTAAGTAATATATTTGATGAGAGTATTTACTTTTAGAAAAAAAAAAAGGCAAAGAAAAACAGTTTCTGTTTTGCCTATGCAAATTACGTTTTGGTATTTTCTATATACTGAAAGTTAAAAAAAAAAAAAACAGAAGGAAAGAGTTAGATAACGGTTCAAGAAGTTGAAGCATCAACCACTTAGCAAACAAGAAGGTAGCCAATCTTTTTTTCTGAATTATTATTTATAATAAAAATTAAGGAAAAATGTGTTTTGTGTTCCATGTTTGACTCAAGGAAATATTGAAGTACAATAGGTAAGCACAAATGACTATTGTCAAGTTTGGTCAATATCTCCAAAATAATTACTTCTCTTAATCCCTTCTAAAAGCTGTTAGCCTAATATACAACCTAAATTTGATAATGATACTGCTGCATACATATGGTAGAATTCATTGAGATTTTGCAAAAGCTAAAAGTGCTTTAACAATGTCTTGTCATAACTTTCTCATTCAGATAACATTTTTCCACTTCCAAAGGGATCATACAAGGAAGAAACTAAAATGGAAAACCTTTAAAATATAAAAAAGTTCCTTCTGTACAAATTTGTCTCTTCTAATCTATCTCGATTTCCATTAGAATGTTACAGCCTATTCAAGCGAGAAGTGAGGCTTAGGAATTCATCCTCCCTGCATGGAATTGTGAGACCACCTTTTGGATGATCATATCCGAATTCTTCTTCAGCTTGACTTAGTAATTCTTGAAATGAAGGATGATTTAAGTACGATATAGGAATCACGAACCGCCTCATTTTATCTCCAACATAGACTGCAAGGTAGCCTTTTGATACTTCAACCCCCTTAGAGGCTGCTTGGGTTGCTGAAAATGATGTCCGTCTAATACCTGGTATGCGGAAACCCATTGTTTTCTGTTGCTCCGCACAAAGAACAATATATTGATCTCAGAGAACTTGTATAAGAAAGAAATATTTGAGTTCTTATGCTTCAGGAAGTAAAATGACTTGTATTGCTTGAGAACCCAAGAACTAGTGTATATATAGTTGCTAAGGGCCTCTGCAATCAAATTCCACAATATTAATGAATGATCTTGACCGGACTATGATGGGGTCTACTAAGAGACAAGGGATCACATGGTATTGTCTTAGAAGACTCTTTCAAGGATTAGGAAGTTAAATGGAAGTGCATACCCCATCTTCTGAGATAATAGCCAACTGATGGCCCATTTGAAATTAAAGACACCTTCATTTGTGAAACCAAATGTTTGTTCATGCATTGTGCTGTAGCTATTCCAATGGTAGACATGCTTTAGACATCTCACATGTTACTTCAGATTGACAATGCTGCTGATATACAAATACCAGCTAATATCACATTAATGGTACGCAACCTCTATGAAACAATGTTTAGAGGCAAGAAGAGAACCGATATTTACATAATCACGAGCCACTCTGAACCACATTTTTTATGTTCATCAGATTCTAAGCAACACCCCGTAAAATTTGCATACGGAAAGTTTGAGGCCCCCACCTCCCCAAATAATGTTGACACGCTTCAATGGTTGCATACTATAATGTCTCCAGTCAACCAATGCCTTTCTTTGTCATAACAACTTGCACAACAATACTTGTTAAGAACACGGAAAGTTCTTCTGATTGTAGACTCCATCAAGATCCTGATGTTTCCAACTGCACAAGTACGATGCAACAAATAATTTAATTAGGGATTGTGACATTGTTGAAGGGGGAGATCTATTATTGTTATGTCCATTTCTTCATTTTCGCTTCAATTTGCCTGTCGGTAACCATAGGGGTGAGAAAATAAGTCTTATCAAGTTTTATTTTTACCCCATGGAAGAAAATATGGCCACATGCCTTAATAGGAACCCCACACTTAATTCTAAGATTAACCCTTTGGTCCTGCTTGTACTGAATATTAAACCAATCAAGTCTTTCTTGCCAAATCCTATTATGTGTAAATGGAAATGAAAATCTTTATTGGTATATTATTGCAAATTGTTGGTTAGTATATGTAACACCCATCTGCAGCCGGTTAATTAACATTCATATGATAGTAAGCGCAACATGCTTAACTTAATTAATGCGGAAGCTAACTGAATAAATTTTCTCTTTTTCCTTATGTATTGCAAATCTTTTCACTTCCATTGCCAAAGTAAAACGGACAACATTTCATCTATATTTTGGACCACTGGACATAATTCCCACCAAGATAATTTCAACCTGAGTGATAGTATAATATAATTCAGGCATACCACAACATAGATAAAACATATTGTCCAGCCATCTATGGCCTAGACTATCTCATAATCCTACTGTCTAAAAATAATGTCCATGATGTTACTTATATAATTACATCAAATAAACAAAAGAGATGCAATTAAATAAGTAACATAGACCTGAGTATGCATCACTAACAATATATACAGACTATCGACATGGCATAGACATCTCCTTTGCTCTCAAAAAAATACATGTCATATACAACCCAAAATAAGGTATGTCAGGTACAAATCTAAATATCCACAAGACCTTGACAATCATGTCAAGTAATATCTCTCATCTGGCCTCTTGCCACGCGATGCCTCAGCACCAGCAGCTCCTGTACCTGAAATGATAATCGCCATAACGCGGGGTGAGATAATATAATTACCTCAGTAAGCTAGGGACCCTTGGAGGGCTCCTCCACCCCTAAGCTCACTTCAGGTATAATCACAGTACATAAAATATACATGCATGCATCAAAATATGTATGACAATGCAGTGTGAAATAATGTAATCCTACTGGCCAGAGAATATAACAAGTATGCATTACGCAAGGAAACACTGTCTTGCAACATACCGTATGAGGAAACACCGTCTCATACTATGCATAAGAAAACACCGTCTTATGCCTCACACAAGGAAACACCATCTTGTGTGGTACACAAACATACATACATATACATGCACCAAATAACAAGTCATTTTCAACATATCATATCAAACTACCACCCTCTCTCGGAGTTTGATGGAACAAATGGGGGATTAACCCCAAGGACCGAATGCTTACCTGTTAAGCACTGTCCTCCAATGCATTCCTTGTATCCAAGGGGTTACAACCACAATTTCTCATAATATCATAGCCTATTCCAAATATGTGAAGACAATCAGTACATATATACTAGTCTACCACATTCAATTTTCAAGACTACACATACAAGACACTTACACTTGATTTTTAGTCCAATTTATCAAACTATTCTAAATGGCGATTTCATAATTTTTCCTTTTCGGGGAACCAATTCCAAACATGTTTAACAAAGGAAGCTATATCCAAATCACTCTCTAGCTATCCATACCATCAAATCCCAATTTATACAACCCTATATCATGCATTTTTTCCAAAAACACAAGAGGAGGTTAGGGCATTTACCTTGGAAGCTTCAAATCACTAAGAGAATGACAATCCAAGCCTTCAAGCCAAGATAAGCATCATTTTTCTTCTCTTTGTGAACAGTACCGGGACCTAGAGATGCATAAATCTCTCAATATAATGACTCCCAACAAAAACTAAGCTATGGATTTTGTAGAGGATAAAATTTGACACACTTTAGGCTTTGGAATGTATTGATCATCAATTTTAGCTCAAGTTAGCAAAGGATGAAGATTGAAAAAAAAGAAAGGAAGCCTTCCTTAACGCTGTTTGGTTGCAGCGAGGAGAAGGATAAATAAGGTGTGTTTTGGTACTTAAGTGACATGTACTTACCATGTGTGTACACATTTATCTACGCCGCTCATCTTATGTTCTAAGACAAACACATTCTTTGGCAAGTCCGCTAACGTGTCGTTTCTTCCTTCACTTTCACTTTTGTGTTCATACTACAAAATTTTAAAAACCTTTCCTTTTTTGGTAAATCAGTGAATAAAATAAATATAAAAAAAAAATCAATTTTTCAAGAGCAAATCGATGGACAAGATTTCTTCGTTTACATCAATGGTCAAGATTTGTTATAAATGGTTGGTGGCAGACAGAACATTTAATGTACCTCTACTTTCTACAAATTTTTGTTAGTGTGAATTTTAAAATTTGAGTTTGAATTTTAAATTGAAATTTTAAATTTGAATTTTGAATTCTGAATTGTGGCATGCAACTCAATTAATGTTGAGCTACTTTCTGCATTGGATTGGTTAAAAAATTTAAAAGATACATCTGCTTCTCTGTATTCTATGCGAACGCGGGACGACATTGTTGCTTCTGATTTTTTTCTTTTTTTGCTGCTGCCAAATATCAGCTGTTTGCACATTGCTTCCTCAACCAAATAGCTTCTTCCTTCTCTCTTTTTTCGTCTTACCAAAAATATGTTTTCAAAATATGATTTTCTGAAGGATGTCAATCCTGCCAAAGAGGATTGGAGGATTAAGGTGAAGGTGGTTCGTGCTTGGAAAGTTCCTAACTTTCAGCGTAGAGATTTTGACAACAATGTTGAAATTGTTTTATTGGATGAACATGTAGTTGTATGCGTTTTTTAAATCTTCCATCTTTGCATTTTTTAAATCTTCCATCTTTGTTTTGATCATTTTAATTAACGTTATTGATGTGAGTTGGCTGCGTTCTTTTGTAGGGTGGTAGGATCCACGCCACTGTCAAAGGTTATTTGCCGATGCGGAAGAAAATCCACGAAGGAGAGTGCTATTTTATAAAAAAATTTGGAGTTGGATTTAATAGCGATGTGTTCAGGCCAACCAAGCATCAGTATCGTTTGTCTTTCAATTTGAGGACTGATCTTAAATCAATTGTTGATTCTAATATTTCTGCGAGTGAATTTGATTTTGTTCATTATGATATCATTGAGAAAGAAACATCTGACTCTCCTTATTTAGTGGGTAATATATTTTTCCTAACTGTTTTTCATTTTTTAATTTTTGCATTTTTTTACGAACTCTTTGTTGCCCTCTTTTTTTTGTAGACGTCATTGGTTTAATCTCAGGAATTGAGGAAGTTTGTGAACATGTGGTGTCTGGTAGGAAAACGAAAATGGTTGTGTTGGAGCTTGACAACCTGAGGTATTTAAAATTGTAGATTTAAAAAAATTAATTTTGTCAAGCTCTGTTAACTTATATTTTTCGTGTATTACCGTTGTTCTTGCTACAACTCATATGAAGGGGTCACAAGCTGGAGTGCACTTTGTGGGAGCATTATGTGGATGAGGTCCAATCTGTTTTGGCAAACAGCGACACTCCTCATAACGTCATGATAGTCCAGCTAGGCAGGATAAAATGTTTTAGGGGTATGATTTTTCCAAACAAAACGTTATTAGTATGATGCTTCTGTATTCAGTTTTATTCACATTATTTTATTTTTGACTTTTCGGTTTTTATTTGATATACTCAACTCGATAGGTAAGGTTGAGTTAACAAATACAAAATATACAACAAGTATTGTCATGAATTCGAAGATGCCAGAGATCGTTGAGTTCAAAAAAAGGTGTTTGTTATTCTTGAACTCATTTGACAATTTATTCGGTTAATCATTTATGGTGTTATGAATTTTTTCTTTATAGTCTTTCGGCTGATGGTGTGGAAAGTAGTCTGAGGATGACTCAGTTTTCTACTCAGTCCTCATATTCTTACGAAAATGATTTTCTGAAGGAGACTGAAAAGAAGTCTATCAGTGATGTGCTTTGTGGTAAGGTAAATATCGAATTTATGTTTTTTTCGCTTTTCTTGAATTATATCAAGTCTATATGAATGATGTGAACTGTTTGCCTGCAATTGCTATATTTAAGGTTACGACTTGCATCACGTATGAGACTATAAAATCTATTGACAACAAATCAACTGGTGGTACAAGTCTTGCAAAAAATGTCCATTTTCTGTTTGTGAGGATTTTGAGAAGTGGTACTGTAAGAACTGCCAAAAACATTGGGAAGATTATTATCCGAGGTAATATATTGTTCTTGGTTTTTAATTTGTCTTTAATCTGTATGCTTAATATTTTTTTTTCTGATATACAATTTTGCAAAACGATAGATTTAGTGTTTAGGTAAGAGTTGTGGATAACACGGATTCCACATCATTTCTTCTGTTTGATCGCGACTGTGTGTCATTGTTGGGGATGAGTGCTGGTGAATTGCGCGAGCTGCATTTCAAGAGGGTTTGTATTATCATTGCTATGAAATATTGAAAATGTATATTTTGAAGTAGAGTGCACTTTGTTCGCGCTGTAGTTGTTATATTTTTTTTCCCTGTTTAATTGATCATCTTTTTTTTTTCTTTTTCTGTAGGGTGCGGATTTGGATCAATTTCCAGAAGAGTTAAATGTTCTGAACGAGAAGCCGATGTTGTTCAACCTAAATATCAAGCAAACGGATTTTTCAAGAGCAATAGTGAAGTCACGTTTTTTTGTTGGAGTTACATCTTGAAATGTTGAAATCGTTTTTTTTTTCTTTGTCTGTAGTGAAGTCACGTTTTCTTGCCTCGCATCACCAGTGAATCGTTGCTTGATATGCATAATCGATTAGTGGTTGATGAATTTAATGTTTGAATTAAATAAATATTAATTAATTTAAAAATCAAAATAAAAATCAATGAAAAATTAAGTTGACCATTTTGTGGTGGCAGACAACTCATTCAATGTCCCACTGATTTGTGTATTGGAATTACTCAGCTCTTTTAAATGCTTTCTACGTTGGAATTACTCAGATCTTTTAAAATTCGAATTTTGAATTGATTTCAAATTTTGGATTCCAATTTTAATTTTAAATTGTAATGGTGGGAAAAGATTTGGAAAGTTTTTGGTGGCACACAACTCATTTAATCTCTGACTGCTTTTCTTTTGTTGCTTGCGTCTATAAAAAGGAACATTTTTTTTTCTATGATGTTATATTATATCTGTCTATTTTTCATGGGTAATTGTTAGCCCTATTAATGTTGCATACAAAAAATATTGTAAAATAACAAAATTATTTATATTGTAAAATAAATTCAAAATTTGGAAATAAATTAAATAGAAAATTACGTGAATAATTTTTTATGATAGACAACTCATTCAATGTTCCACAGCATTCTACATTGGAATTTCCAAATTAATAATAACTAAACTCTTCTAAATTTTGAATTTATGTTTAAATTTGAATTTTGAATTTGAATTTTTAACTTGGTAATGGTGGAAAACTTTTGGAATTTTTTTTGTGGCAGACAGCTCCTTTAATGTCCCACTACTTTTTTTGTTGTTGTATATTATAAGTAAAAAATACCTCTACTTTTCTTTTGTTGTATATCCCACTATTTTTTCATTGGTAATTGTTAGCCCTATTAATGTTGCAAAAACAAAATTAAAAAAATATTGTAAACCAACAAAATTATTTATATTGTACTATAAATTCGAAATTTAGAAATAAATTAAGTGAAAAATTATGTGAACAATTTTTTGTGGCAGACAACTCATTCAATCTCCAACTGCATTCTACATTGGAATTTTCAAATTAATAATAACTCAACTCTTCTAAATTTTGAATTTATGTTTAAATTTGATTTTTGAATTTGATTTTTTAACTTTGTAATGGTGAGAAAACTTTTGGAAAATATTTGGTGGCAGTCAGCTCATTTAATGTCCCACTACTTTTCTTTTGTTGTATATTATGAGTAAAAAAGACCTCTATTTTTTTGTATATCCCACTATTTTTTGCATGGATAATTGTTATCCCTATTAATGCTGCATAAAAAAACAAAAATATTAAAAAAATATTGTAAAATGACAAAATTATTTATATTATAAAATAACTTCAAAATTTTGAAATAAATTAAATGGAAAATTTTGTGAATAATTTTTGGTTGCAGACAACTCATTCTATGTCCATTGCATTCTACATTGAAATTTCCAAATTAATAATAACTCAACTCTTTTAAATTTTGAATTTATGTTTAAATTTGAATTTTGAATTTGAATTATTAACTTTGTAATGGTGGGAAAAATTTTGGAAATTTTTGTGTTAGACAGCTCATTTAATGTCCCACTACTTTTTTGTTATTGTATATTATGAGTAAAAAAGACCTCTACTTTTCTTTAGTTGTATATCCCACTATTTTTTCATGGGTAATTGTTAGCCCTATTAATGTTGCAAAAAAAAAACATTAAAAAAAATATTGTAAAATAAAAAAATTATTTATATTGTAAAATAAATTCGAAATTTGGAAATAAATTAAGTGAAAAATTATGTGAACAATTATTGTATATTTGAGTAAAAAAGACCTCTATTTTTTTGTATATCCCAATGCATGGATAATTGTTATCCCTATTAATGCTGCATAAAAAAACAAAAATATTAAAAAAATATTGTAAAATGACAATATTTATATTATAAAATAACTTCAAAATTTTGAAATAAATTAAATGGAAAATTTTGTGAATAATTTTTGGTTGCAGACAACTCATTCTATGTCCATTGCATTCTACATTGAAATTTCCAAATTAATAATAACTCAACTCTTTTAAATTTTGAATTTATGTTTAAATTTGAATTTTGAATTTGAATTATTAACTTTGTAATGGTGGGAAAAATTTTGGAAATTTTTGTGTTAGACAGCTCATTTAATGTCCCACTACTTTTTTGTTGTTGTATATTATGAGTAAAAAAGACCTCTACTTTTCTTTAGTTGTATATCCCACTATTTTTTCATGGGTAATTGTTAGCCCTATTAATGTTGCAAAAAAAAAACATTAAAAAAAATATTGTAAAATAAAAAAATTATTTATATTGTAAAATAAATTCGAAATTTGGAAATAAATTAAGTGAAAAATTATGTGAACAATTTTTGGTAGCAGACAACTCATTCAATCTCCTACTGCATTCTACATTGGAATTTCCAAATTAATAATAACTCAACTCTTCTAAATTTCGAATTTATGTTTAAATTTGAATTTTGAATTTGATTTTTTAACTTTGTAATGGTGGAAAAACTTTTGAAAAATATTTGGTGGCAGACTGCTCATTTAATGTCCCACTACTTTTCTTTTGTTGTATATTATGAGTAAAAAAGACCTCTACTTTTCTTTTGTTGTATATCCCACTATTTTTTGCATGGATAATTATTAACCCTATTAATACTGCATAAAAAAACAAAAACATAAAAAAATATTGTAAAATAAAAAAATTATTTATATTGTAAAATAAATTTGAAATTTGGAAAAAAATTAAATGGAAAATTATGTGAACTTGATATGTGGGAAAAAAGTTCAGCATTTAATATTTATGTAGTGGGAAAAGATATATATAATAAAATTTAATTTAATATAAAATTATAGATTAAATAATAAAATATTTAAAATTATAAAAATACATTTATTGTCGATAAAAATTATTTAAAAATTCAAATTTAAATTAAAAAATAAGAAATGGCATAATTTATACTTTACAAAAAATAAATTAAAATTTTAACATAAATTTTTTAAATATACATGTATAACCAATTAAAAAAATATACATGTATTTTTTTAAAAAAATATTTAACATAAAATTTTTAAATTTACATGTATAACCAATTAAAAAATGTATAAAAATCATAAATTTAAATAGAAAAAATTGTATAAAAAAATATGTATAATTAATATAAATTTTTTTAAATTTTATATCTAAATAAAAATAACGTCTGTCATTTTGTTAAAAAAAAAATTATTAAAATTTATGAACTATAAAAATGAAAAATTTAATTTAGTACATAAGAAAAAAATTAAACTTTCATTTTTTATTGCAAGAGTGTAATTAACATAAATACTTGCAAAAAATAATTATTTACATAAAATGCTGACAGTTAGAGGTGAAAAACTGGGCTCGGCCGGCTGGCCCACCAATATATTTTTATAATTCTATTGAAATTTTATTTTTCTTCTTTTATAATTAAATTACTAATTCTAATTTCAATTTTTGTAAATACAAATTTGTGAAATTCCAAAGACTAACGACACTAATCCTTGCAAAAAAAAATTATTTATATAAAATGCTGACAAATAGAGGTGGAAAACTGGGCTCGGCGCGGAGGGTCGGTGTAAGAACCTGCACCGTTAATTAAGGAAATTAATTAATTAAATATGAGAATTAGAAAATAATTCCATAATTGACCCTAATAATTATATGAGGCTCTAATAATTATAGTAAGTGATTAAGAATGCTGAAAGTCTCTTTTCTGACGAAAAGTGCAGATACCGGTTATGCTACCCAGTATAAATGCGTACCGGTGAAGTATTCCGGAAAATTATAATAAGTGCATGATAATTACTAGAATAATATGTAGGACTTGTAAAACAAGTTTCAAGTCAAAATAATGAGAACTGGTGCCAGAACTGATACTGGCTATGGAAAAGCGCGTACCGAAAAGGTGCTCCGAAAAATAAAATAAAAATATAATAATTCTTGTAAAATTGAGTAGGTTTAGATTCCAAAGTTTGAGATTAAAATGATAAGCGTAGCTATTTATGCTAATACTGCGCGTTAAATGCTTAAGTGGCTATATATACACTCATTAAGTGGGCACAAAACCCTAGAACCTCATTCCTACGTGAACACCTTTGGGGGCTGATCAGCTTACACTATTCCATTGCTGACTTGGTGCTTCTTTGGCTTGTCTTCACCATTTTTTCATGAGAAACCACCAAATGATCATCTTTTCTCTTGATTCTTCCTTGTAAACACCTTGTGGTTGTGTTGGGGTTGTGTGAGAGGCTTGGTTTATGAGTTGGTGGGTTTTTTTGGGGTGCTTTTGGTGCTGACTTTGGAGGTTGGGGTTGTTGAGCCATTGTAGTGGCATTTTGAGCTCCACGGAGCTTCCTTTGTGAAGAAAGGGCCAAGCTTTGTTGGCATTTTCATTTTGTGTTCAAGTCAGAATCTTTGAGCCTTGTTGGAGAGCTCCAAGGGCCTTCTTGTTGCTGAGTTTGAACCTCCATTGGTATACCTTGAACTTTCCTTTAAATTTTCTTGAAAATAGCTTGTTTTTGGTTATGAAATGAGTTAACTTTAATCATTCAAGCTTAAGGTTGTTAATCTAAGTCTAAAATATGGTATTGAACTTCTGTTTTGGGTCAAAACCGGACCTTGGGTCATGGGGTGGCAATTTGGCTTCGGATTATGCAGAAAAAATCTGCATAATACTGTTCTGCCCGCGTGGTAATCGATTACTTTTGATTGGTAATCGGTTACCATGTGTGGTAATCGATTACCTTGCTGGTGGTAATCGATTACCATGTGCAGTAATCGATTACCAGCCCTTGGTAATCGATTACCATCTGTTAAAATGACTAGAAACCAGTTTTGTACAAATGTGACAGCAACGACCTAGTTTAGTAAAATTGAGATATATCGAGCTACAGAGCTCCAAATTGAGTGGGGTTTGGACCTATGTGAAGCTAACACATAGGGATACAACTCTGTAAAATTTCATAGCCATTGGATAAGTTGTTTGGTCGTAGTATTGGTTTGAAGTCGAGACTTGATTGCTGGAAATTCAGTTTGCAGCAGTCACTTTGCGAAAATCATAACCGGAGTTATACAACTCCGATTGAGACATAAAGTATATTGTTGGAAACCTCAAGATGTCTAGTTTAACATTGTAAATATTATAATATGAATATTGATATAATTGTTGGCCTAAAATAGATTGTGATCCTGCTGTGTTTGGACTTTGAGTTTGTACGGGCTCTTGGCTTGGATAGCTAGTTTGCAAGGTAAGCTTTCGTGTCCTCGGTTTAGCCATGTTGTGGTTCCACTATATCCCATGGGGGTATGGTTATATGCATGCTGTGTTACATGCTTTTGATGTTTTGAAAATGCTGTTGAGAGGTTATATGCAAGTGCCTTTATGATATGCATGTGGTGTTCCACCTATACGGTAAGCCTGAGTATGTGGTACATACAAGATGGTGAGGCTGTGGGTGAGGTGCAAGCGATGTTTCTTGTACTACATGTAGGTATAGACGTATTCTTACATTTCTCTGGCCAGTAGAATAGTGATAAACACACATGGCATGAAATATCTGTTGCACTGCATAGTTTTGAGAACTTATATTGATAAAATGCTTTTAGAACTTATATTGCACATGTAAGTGAGCTTGGGGTGGAAGATCCTTGAGGACCCCTTGTCTTACTGAGATTTCTGGTTTAGAGATCTCACCCACGTTTGGGGAATGCTTATTTCAGGTTCAGGTAATGTTGAGACCTCAGGCGGCAGGAGGCCGGAGCTGAGTTAGATATTGATGATATTATATGCTGACTTGTTGGATGCTGGTTATGCATGCTGCTTTTATGCTTTTAGCTTCAGTTTATGATTTGGATTATCATGTTGAGACGCTGTTGATTTGGTGAGCATGGGGATTGCCCATGACACATAGTCTTGTTTATGTCTTGTTTTAGTTGGAGTTGTAATAATATATTAGGATATTGTTCGGACTACTTGATGTAGATCCGTGACTTAGATACTCACTTTATATTTATATATTGAGGTATTTCAGTTAGTTGTTTTGCAATTTACATACAGGTATTGGTTTTTATGAAATTTATTAAGTAATCAAGATGATAATTGATAATGACGTCATAATTGAAAAGAAAAAAAATATTCCGCATTTTTAATTAAGCACCGCTTAATACGATGTAATGTTAATATTCCGGGTATACACGGGGTGTTACAGCCGGCCCGCCAATATATTTTTATAATTCAATTGAAATTTTTTCCTTCTTCTTTTATTGTTAAATTACTAAATCTAATTTCAATTTTTGTAAATATAAATTTGTGAAATTCCAAAGACTAACGACACTAATCCTTGCAAAAAAAATAATTATTTATTATTATTTTATGAATTTGATTGTAGTAAATGAAAGTTCATCTCTGAGATAAAATATAAAAACCTAGACACAACTATAAAAACATTTTTTGTGGATAAACATAAAAACCTTTTTTGTGGATAAACATAAAAACCTTTTACATGCTGATAGTTAGAGGTGGCAAACTCCGGGCTGGCCCACCAATACATTTTTATAATTAAATTAAAATTTCATCCTTCTTCTTTTTTAATTAAATTCTTAAATCTGATTTTAATTTTTGTAAATACAAATTTGTAATATTCCAAATACTAACAACACAAATTCTTGCAAATACTAATAATTTATTATTATTTTTTAAATGTGAATGCAATAAATGAAAGTCTATCTCAAAGATTAGTGTAGTTGCTTTGATTCTGTTTATATGCATTTGTTGCAATGTAAGCAAAAAATAAGACTTATATATGCTTATTTGATTAAGTTGCCTTCAAATCCCGTTCAGACAACATTTTTTTTGTGCTTAAAAAAATTTAATCCAATCTTTTTTTTTGCTGATACTATGGCTTTTGGGTGTTAACATATTAGTGTTACTTATTTAATGAGTTTTTGCCTTCTGTATCGTAGGCACAAGGAACGAAAATCACACAGGAAATGACATATTTAGTAAGTGTTGAACTCATCCCTCCAATGATTGTTACGAAATGACACTGAATGAATAGCATTTTCATATTATAGGTAAAAGCTGATATTTTAAATCCATATTTGGTGTTATTGTTAGCTTGATTTTGTTGATGAATGTTATAGTTAGCAATGATTTGTATGCATTTTTCTTTTTATATCCCTTCCTCATGTTAACATGGTGTATTATAACGTATTATGGTGTATTATGATGTAGTTGTATGCAAAATTAATTATCCCTCTGAATAGAAGATTTTTGTTTGTGGTTGATATTTGCAAAGTTCTGTGTTAATGCTATAATTTTTTTCACCTGAAATATAGAACAAAATAGCAACACAATTTTTTGTAAGTATAAGGTTTACATTGCGATTAACCAACCACGGCAGACGACAAAAAATTTGATCTTTTTCTCCTGTGCACTAGTTTAATTCTCAATCTGACTTTACACATTAGTTTACAATATTTTTGTGGTAATATTTTCACATTTACTTTCACTTTTTGAGTAACTTTATTTACCTGCAATTTTACTTCTTAACTGTCATTTTAACTCTTTTTTCACCACAGGTGACTTTTTTTTTTTTTTTTTCTACTTTCCTTATAATTATTCTTCAATATTATAATTAAAATCATTAATTCATAATTAAATTCACAATTACATGGAGGGCTTGCATTATTATAGTATATGATTTGGTGCCGTTGGTCGTAAGAGAAACCGGGGACAAAGACTTTCACTGAGCAAAATAACTACAAAAAAACAGGCATTTAGCGACGGTTCATTTTTGGTATACGCGACGGTTACAACCGCCCCTAATTGCAAAAATGCATTTAGCGACGGTTGTAACCGTCGCGTATACCAAAAATGAACCGCCGCAAAATGCCTGTTTTTTGTAGTGTTACAATTGATACATGACCATCAACTGAAGACAATAATTTCTGCAAGTTGCAAGAGATTTCAATTTCTTGTTTATTTCTTAATACATAAAAAGCTTTACATCATCTCTGGAACAACATAATGTTCCTTATACAAGATTGCATAGAAATGATGGTACATGGATGGTGTAACATTTTCATTTTTTGAGGATTAGATTCAATTCTCACAAGTAATTCTATCCATCGTGGGATTTTGTGAGACCGTCACTTTGATGATAGACATTTTTGCTATTAGATTAATCCTTCAAGCATGAAATCCTATCCAAAATGCATGGCCTCCATTTCTTCAGGCTTGAACACAAGAGTTGCTTGCAGTATTTGGCCCTGCCTGCTGGTCCATCTGAAATGGTTACAAAGATCATGGCTCGATCAACCTAGGCAACCGGGTATTGATTACTCGTGCTTTCAAGCTGTTGTGATCTGCTATGGACTGTCACTTAGTTTAAGTGGTTTTGCATTTGTTATTGCATGCTTCTGGCAGATGAACCTGCTTGTTTGCTGTTATGGTTCTAAATTTCCAATTGAGAAGTGACACTGAAAAAGATGTCTTCTCTGCAAGGAATAGTGAGACCACCCATTGGGTGATTATATCCAAATTCTTCCTCAACTTTGCTAAGCAATTGCTGAAAAGCAGGTTCATGCAAGTAAGATATAGGAACCACAAATCTCTTCTTTTTCTCTTCTCCAACATATACCGCAAAATACCCTTTTGGTATGTTAGCAGACACTCTTTTTCCGCTTAAAAGTGAGCGGCAGAGGATATGCTTGGCATGCATTATTGAGGGCAAACGAATGGCCATTGTTTTTTCAGAGAAGTTGATAACTATTTTGGAGAAGAAAGGAATTGTAGATGGACAATGTGAAAACTTGATGGAGGATCTTGGGATGTTGCGGGTGTATATAAAGAGATAAATTTGCGTAACAAATATTTCGAAATAAGAAATAAGAGGTGTGGAGGCAACAACACCAAAATTGGTGGGATATTAGCATTTGATGGATCACATGGTTCTGTCGTTCAATGCTTTGTCAAGAACTTGATTGTGATTATTGAGACTAGATATATATATTACGACATGTGCCCGACAATTTTTGTAAGAGATGGAATGCACAGGACCCCATGTTATATTAAGCTCGGTACATTATTTGTGAAATAGGAACTTCCCACTCGTCAAGGGAAACATATAGACTATTTCGTAGACAGGACAAAAGATTTTAATTACTGATTTTTTTTTTTCTTTCTTTATCTCTCTCTATTTTCTTGTCTCTTAATGAACAGTGGTTATATTATAGATAGGTTTGGCATTCTTATTAAATAACACCAAACTATTTGATTACAAAAGTGGATAAGGCGAAACAACTGGGATCTTCTCTCACATATATTGAGATGGGGCCTTAATTTATACAGCTCACTGATTGAGAAATGAGAAGCAACGTAGATACATGTCTCGTGACACTGTTGAATAATGTATTTCAACATATTGTTATTTGGCTTGTACCAAGTGTTGTCCGTCTTCCTGTTGAATAATGTTTTTGGTAATCATTTGCCTTATGAGTTTTTCAGAATGGATGAGAAAGACTGGTTTAGGAGAAGTATTTGCAGGGGTGGGAACAGAAATGGAGTTTCTGAATGGCTAGATATTTTTATTCCAACATGTTGGCATCTCTGGTTTTGGCGTAATCAGGAAGCTCATGATGCAGAATTTCGAAGGCCAATTAGGGGAAAGCTGGTCATTTATGATTACATTTCACAGATTTGTGTAGCTAGAGGAAGAATGAAGAAGAATAATGGTAATAATCCAGCTGATATATAATTATGGGGTGACAAGCTCCTGAAGAAGGGTGGGTAAAGGTCAATACAGATGGGGCATATTCTTATATTAGAAAATCTGCTAGTTGTGGGGGCCTTGTTAGAGACCATAATGGTATGTTCCTTGGTGGTTTCAAACAAAATCTTGGCTGTAGTAATCCTCTGGATGCAGAGTTATGGGGAGTATTGAAAGACTTGGAATTTGTTTGGAGTTCAGGTTTCAGAAGGATTATAGTGGAGTGTGACTCCTTGAATGCTATTTCTCTCATTTACAACAATGATTCTAATTCTAGAAGTCCTCAAGTTATAGACCAGATTTGTAAGTGGCTGTCACAAGATTGGATAGTGCATTGCAATCAGTGGCGGATCCAGGAAATTAACGAAGGGTGGGCACTTAATATATAAGTTCAAGTACATATAGATCTGGGTCTAGTCTGGAACGTGACTTGTGAGTAGCTGCCGGCTGTCTGGGTCTGGTTTAGATCTAGATATGGACGAATTGCGACTCAACTGGACTAACGATGGAGGAAGAAACAAATTGTAACATCTCCGTCTCGAGCCGGTTCAATTAACATGAATATGATACTAACAGAAACAACGAAAGACTTAACTTACGAAAATGCGAGCTAACTTTTTCTTTTTCTTTTTAAATTCTTATTCGGCGTAAACGAAAAAATGGACAGAGTAATCTCTGTAAATCGGACAACTGGGGATTTTCCAATCCCACTCTCAAGAGTTCCTGATAGACAGTTTAAACAATATTTATATCCAGAAGTACCAGTCATGCAATTATAATCAAATGCCCATCTATGGGCGCATGCAGAACTTGGCTCAGTGTCGCTAATCTAACAGCATGCAATCCAATACATAAATATAACTGAATACTACATAGTCATATCAACATGTCTGAATACAAAAGTGTACATGCATCAAACTGAAGAACATGTACAAAACATATACAGGCCATATACAGAGTGAAAGATCAAACATCTTGATCCTCAAAATAGCTGAAATATAAACTACATCGATATACTCCAAAAAGGTAGTAGCCTACAGCCACTCAAAATACGGTCCGTCGAATGTCTCAGCCACGTGTCGCGTCCCTGCCTAATAAGGGCTCACCGGGAGTCTGGGAACCTGAAAATATGCCCCCAAAGAGGGGTGAGATTACAAATCTCAATAAGCTCCAGGTTTATAGAGAATTCTCCATACCCCTGGCTCACTCCTGCATGAAAGTCAGATACAGAGTATACAAATACAACATATAGCAGATATCATAACAGAACAGAGCATATCCATATCATATCAGAGGCGTGCACCGTCATTCCAAAGGGAGGACCCCAAGCGGAAATCAACGCACATGTTCCCAAGGGAGGACCCCAAGTGGAACTAGTAGAGGCGTGCGCCGTTATTCCTAAGGGATGACCCCAAGCGGAAATCAACGCACGTGTTCCTAAGGGAGGACCCCAAGCGGAACCAGAACATGTCAGAGGTGTACATCGTCAATCCTAGGGAAGCCCCAAGAAGACATCAGTGTACCATACATCATTACAGAAATCATATCAGAACAAATCATATCATGTTATCACATAGCTCTATATGAATGCATCTATACAAGGTATCATAATAATAGTCATAAAGTCCAACCATAGTTCACTAACCATGGCGGAGCACTCAAGCAGGAAAAGACTCCTTAAATATAGAGTTTACCTCTTGAAGCTTTACCAATACGCTTACTTGTTGCACAAGTTACTTATATCGCTTCAATAAAATTCCACTCCTTTTCAATCCCTACGCACAACTAGAGAAGAATTTACAACAAAATCAATAAATGATATTATGCCATGACCCTTTCATAAAGCATACATTTTATCGCTCCTTTTCGTTTCTTTATATTTTTGCCAATGCTATGCCAATACACAAGTCTAGACCACTTTATAACCGTTGATGTTCTTTAATTTAATCAAGTATTCCCTTAAGAATTTTCAACATAAATCATGCCATTTTACTTCAAAAGGTCGCGGACCTACCCTTAGGGAAATCAAGGTATTTTTCAACCATTTTTCAAGTCATTTAACTTCTTAACTTATCAATTTTGTACCTTGAATTACAACACATTTTATTAAAATAAAATGTAACAACATATACCTCTATACCACCCTCTAGGTCGAACACTATAAGGAAATAGGCAAGGGTTCTTTTCTTTTTTATTACATGTAACTTACATATACAATGTATGTTTCCATATTGTTCCAACTTAATGTTTGGACATCAAGTCCCTCACAACTCTCCATAGCCGAATCAAAGGGATCAAGACACAAAGGATTTTTTCCTACTTTAGCCTTCACACTAATTTACCAAATTCATACTCACTCCAACACCTTAGACCCTCTTAATATATCAAATAAAATTTTGCACAATGAACCCTACGTGACCCATCATGGCCGAACCGAGGGAGGTACCACACAAGGAATTTCTTTTTCATTTAACACATGTATACATGCTTAGTTTATATGCTTATATTCAAAACATCAAAAATCCATCATCAAATTTCCTTTTAAACTAATTTATTTCACACCCAACACATGCTCACAATTTCTATGACTCAAATCAGCAAAATAACATCATGGAAATAAAGGTTTCTTACCTCTAATCAACTTCCCAAAGCCTAGAAGATGACCACCAAGCAAAACTCCACCAAAAATGTCATTTCTTTACCTTGATGAATAGTGTCACGAAAAATGGGGGAGGAGGAACTCCTCACACACTCAACTCTAGCTCAAATTGAGTGGTGAAATGGATTCATTGAGTTGTTTCCAATCAATTTCATGTGGTGGGTCATTGAATTTGGAGTATTAATGGTGGAGAAATCAAAGGAGAATCAAACCCTAACCCCCCTTTCCCTAAGGTGCTGATCGGCCTTGCAAGAGAGAGAAGAGAGTGTTTTTGTGTGAATAGTGTCCACTTAAGTGACTTATAAGGTTAGCACATGTGGCCTTTTTTAATCCGGTTGTTTTTTCTATTGCGTATTTTAACTTAAACTGACCCGGAACTAACTCAAAGCTACGAACATATTTTTATTTTTCTAAAGTCATTTACATTAATTTTTATTTCCTAAGGAGCAATATTCGTAATTCACAGTATGGTTTTTACACCGTTTTTGACGAAATGCACTGTGAACCACTAACTGTACTCCGTTTACTTCTGAACTTAAAACTTATAAACTTGTCATTTTCTTGGGCCTATATTGACTTGCTTGGCATATATTGGACTTTCTTATTCTTATTTCATCAATTATTTGTTTCTGGACTCTACCGATTGCTTAAACAACAGTATAAAATACCCGGTAGAAAACACTATTCACGAGATTTTCACGGAAAGTGTCAGACTATATAATTTTTCGTTCTGAACTCATATATGACATCAGAATTGTCAAATTATGTCTCTAAAATCATTTTACTCATTTAAGCTCTACCAGTTAATTCACAAAACTGTAAATTCTCCGGCAGAACGCAGTGTTCATAACATAGTCATGATTACAGTCAAAATACTCGAAATCACTCACTGAATCTAATTATGGCATTTAAATCCTTAAATTAAATCTCTAATTAAGATTTACTCTTTGGGTCATTATACAAATGTTCGAGGAGGTTTGAGAGGAGATGAATAAGTATGTAGATGCAAACGATGGATGTGGAATAGAGTTCTCTGCTGTTTGGTTTAGATAATGAAGGTGAAGGAGAGAAAAAAAACTCACAGGAAAATAAAATAGGAGGGGAATTAAAGGGGTAGAATACAAGGGGTATGAAATAGAGTTACTACCAATGTTACTACCAATCAATTGTACCGTTAGTCGATTATAACAGTTATATTTATTTCTATCTTTGTATGGTTATGATTCCCATATTTAATGTAAAAGCATTAAATATGAGAAATCATAATCATACAAAGGTGAAAAAAATATAAAGTATTAAATATGGAAAATCATAATCA